GAGATAGTCGAAGTCCCGGAAACCGCGAAATTTTCCCTTCGTTCAGGTTCAAGCCATCAAGAGCTAGCTCAGGACTGCCTTACCTACCTGTTGCTATCGCCCTTTTCTGATGGTCCATCTAGTACCCAGAAGGAGTACCTGTCTCGACTGAAGCAGTTCCCGCTTCTCAAGTACGCAACCAAATACTGGTTCTACCATGCTCGCAACGCAGACTACAGTGAAGAGACCCAAGAACTGGCCATGCGGCTCTTTTCGAAATCTGGTCGGCAAAACTTCATGTCTTGGATCCAGGTCTTTAACGCAGATGCCTCATTCAAATGGGATGTGTATCCGCGACACGCTACATCACTCTACTATGCTTCGTCTATAGGTCTAGATGAGGTGGTGGAGTCTTTGCTTCAGTCGGCAACACCCGGAATGATCAATGCACCGGGCAGCCGCTTTGGAGGAACGGCCCTACATGCTGCAGCCATAAGAGAACACATCACGATCATCAAACGCCTCATACTTGCGGGCGCTGAACCAGGCAAGCAGGACTTCAACGGTGTATCGCCGTTACATAGCGCTGCGAGTCAGGGCAGTATTGATGTGGTCAAGGTGTTGTTGAGCAACGGGGCTCCGATCGATGTGAAGGATGGAATGGATGGAACTACTCCACTTGATTGGGCACGTTTAAGTGGTCACGAAGATGTTGCGAACCTTCTGCTAAAAGGCCTGGAAGAGTGCTCTCCGTCACGTCCTTCTTCGCTGGGATCACCTTCTAGTACACAAGGATCTCGCACAACCCAATTTTCTCACAGGACCGAAGAACCGCAGGTTGGAATTTGGCAGCCCGGCGTGGGTTTCTTTCCAGACTACTACGAAAAGCGCTCCGGACTAGAGTCTTCGCTTGTCCTGAGTATAAGCATTGGAGAAGAGGCATCGCAAGTCGATGGCGAGTTCTTACAATCTCTGGAGAAGACTGGGGCACCAAATCCAGTTTGGTAAGGAGGAAATGTTGAAGCCAGCCTGAATACTTGTAGCCTGGAGTGGTTTAGATACAGGTCACTCTAGAGTCTGCTGTCAAAGCTGGAGGCTGGAATTGCCCTCATATTCTAGCTAAAGCCCACATCTTATAACTGCGTCATTTGTTCGTGTTTTGATTAAAGGTTTGCCGAGAAACTTTTTACTCTCTGAGTAGTTGTACTGGGTATTGCGGCCCTTTATCACGTCTTGTGTTGACGAGTGAACATGGTTACAACATCTGAAATCGATCCTGACGTCCGAATTAGACTGATCCACCTCTGAACGTTGTCGATTGCCGATATCCTTTCTTCCGCTGTCTATACCCTGTGTCGACTGTTGGATCCTATCCCATCAGGTATACGTGACAGCTGTACTGGAATACCGAAGAGACATGAAGGATTGTCTACTAGTATTCGGATCCAGAACTCGAGTAATCTGGCCGCCAAATCGGCCTTTCAAGAGAACTTTAGCGGCGCTGAAGAGTTTCGAAACGCTTGTTACTGAGGCGGAAGCGCGTATCTTCGTGCTAGATGCTCTTGTCAGTAAATGCTATAAACTCGAGACCCAAGATAGAGTCCATACCTATTCCAGTAGTATGTACCTTCTCATCCCATACTTATGTTGAAAGGAACAGTTTGCCTATCCCCATGTCGACCCAAACCAAACTCGCTCTGACGAACTGCGAAAGATTCTCCGCCGAGTCTTATGCTTCCGACGCCAAAGGTACCTTCGGAGTCGGAATTCGACGATGATAGGTGCTAGACATGATCTAAACATGGTTGATCTTATCCGCGACAACAGGTTTCTCGATTTTCTTATGAGAGAAGCCTCTGAAACGACTAATCTGTGAGTCTAAGCTAGGTATAGAGCACTTTAATCAGGGTTCCCCATATAAAGTGAGCTTCTATCGATGGCTTTGTAGGAGAGGGTGGTACTGGAGATCATCGCGATCTCAAGTTGGGCAAGTAGCTTGAAGACTTTGAGTGAGAGCACTCTGTTTATAGCTCGATACCCCCTTATCTCCGTTTTCTTCGTCCTTGATCATCTCTTCCAGGGATCTAGGAAAGTTCATTCTCATTGACTCGGTTCAGTTTTCGGAGTTGCCTAGAGAGTGTGAGCAATAAGACAACACCGTCAAAGAACACCTTGATGGGTACACGGTCAAGTTCATCAAGGCATTGTTCTGCAATGAAGTCGAAAACTGTGGAACAGAACAGGCAGACGAAGCAACAGCCCCAGATCAGGCACCGAGCTCAGATCAACTGGACACAGACCGCCTCGAGCCCTTGAATACCTCGACTCGGCATGTTGTGTACCTTCTTCTTGGAGATTCGACGACAAGCGATGCTACTCGCGGTAAAGGGCGGACGTCTAGTACCCCTTTGTCCGTGCTGTCTCGTCGTGCTGTAACTTCGACAAGCGCCTTTGTGTTGGACAAACCAATTGTCAATATTAGAGGCCTTCTGTCTCAGCACACCTTGTCTCGAGATTCTTTGGCATTCCCTCCCGAAGTCAGGGGGCTGCGTCAGGACTCGATTCATTGGTATATATCAGGAACGAGTTGCTGCCTTCTCCCAAACCGCAGACCGTTGACTGTACATCACTCACATCACCTCGCATTACAAGAAAGCCACACATCCACTGCAAGAAACTCCAAATCTACGATCAACAACCGACCCAAGAGAGACTCATCCAAGGTACCCAACCCCATCTCCCACCAAAAAACTCACAGAAACCGCAGAAAACCCAGCAATGTGCATGAAAGTCTTCGCCCTCCAACGCTGCCTCGGCCCCGAAAACGGCGGCTGCGGCGACTACTTTGCAGACTACCTCGAGCAGCGCGAATGCAACCACATGGCCCTCCCCGGTCTCCCGCAACACAACTGCCGCGCCGTCTGGGCCGGCTTCGAAGACGAGCGCAGCGCCAAAGCCCTCCACCGCGACGAGTACGCCAAGCGCGCCCACAAGCTCTGCGCGGACTGCCGCGTCCGGCACCGGCTCGGCTACCTCGACAGCGAGGCGCAGGCGGAGCGTAGGGGCGAGTACTCGAATCGTATGAAGACTATCATCGAGGACCTGACGCGGCGCGCGGATTTGGGGCAGATGGAGTTTATGAACCGGGTGTATCGCGACATGTGGGATGCTGCGCTGGGGTATGTTCAGGGGATGGCGAAGACGACGGACGGGGTGTGGAACGGGATTGAGGGGGCGCTTCGGCGGCACTTTGGGGACAGCGGGATGGAGATGAATGTTGTGGGAAACCTGGTCCGGGACTTGAAGATTGCGAAGAAGGAGTTGCTTGAGCAGGTGATGACTTCGACGAGGGAGATGGCGACGGCGCTGGTTGGGCCGAATATGGATTTCCAGCAGGATCTGGAGGCTGGTGGGTTTAGGTCTGGATACATCACTGAGGAGTGGAAGCTGCAGAGAAGGGCGGCTGTTGATGCCTCGAGGGCGACAGCCGAAGCTGGGGACCTCGAGAGCAACGACGAGATGGGGCGAGAGTATGATTCGTCTGCATCGGTTGGACATGTGAACAAGCCGAAGTCCACAAGGTGAGTGTAGGTAGAATGCGTAGTGACCGATCCACCTCTATAGCTCGACAACACCCTGCCTTTGAGAGGCAAATATGATGCTCAGAGCTCTTGCTTCCAGCTGATTATTTCCTCATCACGACGTTTCAAGATGTGATCTGGCATTGAACCATGCCGTTTTGATCATGTACCTTTCAGGAATCTATAACGACCAGTAGCTGTGTCTGTATAGGACCTTACTTGGTACAGGCCCAAGTCTATCGGCGACATGGAGGTTTTCTTAAACAGGAACTTTCTACGCTCCGGATCTAGACCGGAGCGCCCCGCCCGGAGCATACCCGCTCGGTGGGGCTAGCGGATCTTGACTCAGGGCCACCCAATCGTTGCCGGTACATGAGTTCTCAGTTCTCGCCGGTCAGCATGGATCCTGGACTCGCTTCAGTATCTCCCACTGGCGTTGTGGCAGAGTGGTCTAATGCGCAAGACTAGAAATCTTGTTCCTTCGGGAGCGTCTGTTCGAATCAGGCCAACGTCGATCTTTTGTTTTTGCCGCGACGGTGTTCTCTCGTTGTGGCCGCTTCCTATCTTTTTGCATGTTAACAGTCATTCAGGATGCCATTTCTCGTAAATACAGGCAAAATTGGAGTCTGTGGAGATAAGTCGACAAGCGAGCATGTGCCAGAGATCAACATCCCGCAACCGTACGGCGTTGGGCCGCTCGCCTCGTGTTTTCAGGGAGCTAGCTCAATGCGCTGGTCTGGCACATTCCACATCGCCCCAGATTCTGAAGCTCCAACGCCAGATGCGGGCCGCCGCGTGCGTGACGGTTTATGGCATGTATGGCATGTCGTTGTCGTTGCCGTTGTCGTCGCGTCAAGTTCGCTGTGTAACGAGTCGGAGCAATTCTTGTCTCGTCTCATCAGGGACCAGGTGATGGGGCCAACGGCGATCATAGGGATGTGGGCAGCCATCTGCCTGGCTGGTTTCGTCTTCCTTTCATCCTTCCATTTGTCCCGTTGGGACGAGACGATTCGGTCGCAAAGGATGGGATGATGGGATGATCTGCGCTAGGCACTGCGTTATTGGGAAAGTTGCAGTTGGTACTGGAGATGTAGAATCCCAGTGCTAGAGAATGGGAATGACATTTGCTTCGTGGTGAGGTTTGCATTAGTTGTGCAGAGTTCGATGGCATGTGCTTGTGCTATGCATGTGATGTAATTACATAAGCCAGGCATTTGACGATAATTATGTAAGCCACGTTCCTTGGCCAGGCGCTGTGTGGGATGACATAATCACATAATCTGGCGTCTCGAGCTTTGCGTCAGAAGGATGGTGGGGGGTCGGAGAAAACGGGGCCATTAGCACTGGCGGATGGATCTCTGGATTCTGGAATGGGTGTGCTTCATTTCGCCTTGCGTCTACCACGACCCAATCAGACGCACTCGGAGGGTTTCTGATGTGCTAAGGATGTCGTGTGGATGTCGATATGTGGGATGGTTGCCCAGAGTCCAGACGAGACGAGACAAGACAGAGAGAAAGGGAGGAATGGAGAGAGGACAAAAGTAGCGACGAAGACGAAGACGAGGCAGGGAGTCGACAATGAGCCGTCTGTTCCGAAGACCCGGAGGTAGCAGCCACTGGGCTGATGCAGTCGGAAGCCATCTCTGGTACCTTGGCTATTATTATTGATTTCCGGGCAGGTATCTGTCTTTGATGGAGATTGGAGAGACCACTGATGGAGGGGAGGACTGGACCCTTTCTTGCCCTTACCCGATGGCCTGCAGCAACCCTGGTGCGTTTTTCCAAGATCCATCATCATCCATCGAGGATGACATGATGGATGACATTGACACGGCTAACCTGCAGCAGTGGGCGCGCCAGCCCGAGCGGTGACTCTGTTCACTCTCCATTCTCTGAGCTTTCGCCCTGCTGAAATCCTTGAAATTGGAGTCCCGAGTCCTTGACCCTGGATGTTGGGTAACAATGATTAGTGTTTGCAAAAAGCCGCACGGCCCAGCAGACGAGGCCGAGTCCTGGAGTGCTGGCAGCAGCAGCCAAGGCCTTGGACTGTGAATGTCTGAGCATTCGCAGTGTCTACTACTGCGTTTTCGGCTGTTCCTTGGCAAGATGTTCTATGACTTGAGAAGCTCGGCATGAGGATACCAGGTTCGTAGTTACTTGAATGGCAGTAAATGACGAGAAAGAGATATGCAAAGTCCAAACAAACCAGGCCGTAGACGGACGGAGAGACAGCGAGACAGAGAGATAGAGGCCTGACTGGCATGGCATGGACAAGGTTCTCCCACGCAGCCGCCAAAAGCAGCTGGGAGTAATACCACCTCGCATACTAAGAACCGGGCAAGGCATGCGACAAGAGCAGAAAAGAAGTGGTCACAGCTAACGGCATCCAGCAGTTTTTCGTGCCTGCCCGACCTGCTTACAGATGCTCTCCAATTACCTCTATTCGTTATCTGCTGCCTCTTTTCCTTCCATCTCTTTTTTTTCTTCATCCCGTCATCCTGAACTTGATTTTGCCATCCTCACCACTGCTTTGCTCCCACCTCTCTTCCCCGCCATACCTTACTATTATTGCCAGGTATTCGTCCATTCATTACTCCTTCCAGGCAGGCGTATGACTCGGGTTTTTCTTCTTCCAACATCCTCCGTCTAATGCCCAGCAAGCACCGTTACCAATAGCTTGCATCGAATCTCCAAGACATCCCTCCACCACTACCACCACCACCGCCAACCAACACCACTCCCAACGCTCGCGCCTGCACACACGCATCTGACGCCGACGCAAACTGACGCTGATACACCATCGCATCCGAGCCAGGACAGACGAACTATGACTGCGCCTCTGTCTGCAAGGAGGTGAATGCGTCTCGCTCAAGAGGCTGAAGACTGACACCGTCAACGTCGTCTAGTCTCCTGTGCCAACACTACCAGTCCCTAGTTTTCGGGGACTATATTGGACTTGGAGGACTGGAGTCGCGAGTTCGATCCAGCTTCCCTTCGCTCGTTATCCACCAACCTGACTCCGTAATTGCTTCCTCCTCTGCGACCACCCGCCACCCCTGCGCCGGTGGTTCGGATCGCCGTTCGCGCCTGAATCACCCATCCATCCAGTAGCTCGTCCGTCCCGAAACCACGACGATGTTTTCCCATTTACGAATCCACCGGAGGGGACAGTCGAATCCCACTTCGCCAAACCCCGAACAGCCCTCGGCCGCTGCTCCCTGGGATCCCTCGCTTCCACAGCAGCACTCTCCCTTCATTCAAGATGCCGCCTTAAGCCCAGACATGCGACCCCAGGCTTCGACGACGAATTCCTCACTGCCTCCCACCCTGCCGCCCATTCCCCGCGTCACCTCATCCAGCTCCGAATCGCCGTCCCCGCTCGAGCGACCGACTGTCGATACCAAGATCAGGGTGACGCCAGAGCTCAACACGCAGAAACCCCAGCCGCCCGTGCCTCCACCGGTGCGCTCGCCATACAACGCAGACTCTGGCTTCCTCGGTGGCGTCGCTTTGCGCAAATACCAACGCGAGCAACAGGAGCAACAACAACAGCTCAAGAAGCAACAAATGGCGGCGAAATCACCGGATCTGGTCACGTCTCCGATTCTTCAAGGCAGCCACGAAAGTCAATTCACAAGGTCGAAGCCCGCACCCCCGCCGATAAACACCGCCCCTCCGACGAGACCCCCACCGCAACCCACGAGTGCCTCAAAACATGCCGGCTCCTTTGCGACCCCGACCGAGCTGCATCACCAGGGCAATACACAGAGCTCGCCCCAAGCTCAAGCCTATCCTGCCACCGGACGTCGCCCTGCAGGAACGAGGTTGTCGAGCGAGCCAATCCGCATGGCAAACCATGGTTCTGATGCCCCGAAGGGTAGGAAAGGCCTGCCTTTTCTGAAAAACCCAATGTCAACACTGCTTGCACGGAGAAAGACAAGTCAAAATGCACCAGACTTGACGCCTCTTCCGCTGGGAGGAAACCCGTCATACGATCCTCGAATTCGCGGGACAAGAGTTCATGACTTTAGCGCTCCACGACCACGACGAAGCATCCCCAATAATGAGGGTCCCAGCCCTGCCGCGGCGCCAACCCCTGGGACGAAAGCACAACCGCCGATACCTGAGGAGATGTCAGACTTGGGCCAGACGTCGTCCAGAGAGAGCGCAGCACCATCACAAGCATTTCAACATGGAAGGAATACAAGCAGTGCTTCTGAATCTGGTCGCTCGGGCTCCGTCAGCGTCATATCACAGCCAGCTGTTGAATCAGGGAGCGGGTCGGTAAAGACAAGAAGCAGCTTGAACTTGGAGTCAAAACCTCTGCCCGACGTGCCGCCCAAAGACGATACCGCACCATCGTCGAGCTCGGCCTCAATCGTCTCCAAGAAGCCCTCAATTAGTGCGTCCTCGATCTTATCCAAGAAAACACCGTCCACAAGAGCAAACCCTTCAAGACATGCCTCTGTGTCTGGGCAGGATGTTCTTTCTTCTGTGCCCCGCCGATTGAAGAGTACGTCCTCCAGATTCAGCTTCGACATGGTCGGCGCGGCAAAGCAGGAGAAGCTGCTCGAAGAACGACATCGTCAACGCGAACTCGAGAGGAAGACGTCCGACCCTGAGCCTAGCGGACCTCGTGATTCTAGGTTCGACGACTTTGATGAGGACTTTGATTACGATGCGATGATGGAGGACGACGGGTTCGAAGAGCCGATTCCGATGAGCAATGACTTTGGAGACGACTACGGATACGAGGAGGACTTTGACGCCGGCGGCACAGATCCTTTGGGTCTCGACGACGGTGAAGACTTCGATGCGGCTGGAACCGACCCCTTCGCTCTCGATCCGGTCCCAGAAGTTGAGATCGAATTCGACGAGGATGCTGCAAACGACCCAGACAACGATCAAGAGAACTTTGCTGGCTTTGTCTTTCAACGATCAGGCCCTCCCTCGGCCTTGACCAGTCCACACAGCGCCGGTCTGTTAGCGACGCCGAGAGATGCAGACGGAAAGGTGATTGGATTCGCCATCTCGAGAGATACGCCAGATTTGAACCAGCTGTTGAGTCCCGGCTTCGCTCCCGATCAGAACTTGTCGCCCACTACGACTGATTCAGCTGCCGAACTTCCGATCGACGGCTTGAATATTACCGATACGAAGCTGCAAGACGAGGACAAAACGTTGCGCGAGCCAACCCAGTCTTTGTCGCCCGCTCCACTATCAGTCCCTAAGAAGGACGATCTCTATTTTGACAACGGCCTTCTCGATGAGTTGGAATTTGCTGGCGAGGGGGACGGCTCTTACTTCGACGAGTCCATCTTTGATCTGGACGATACAGACAAGTATGGCCGTCCTATTCCGGGCGCCTTTGCCAGAGCTCAAGCTGCCAGAGCTGCGATGACTGGTGGCACCACCCAGCCTGAGAATAAAGTACAAGGAACCGATGCCGAGGTCGGCGAAAGTCAAGATCCTAGCGTCCAAGACGGCAGTGCCCCTGACAATGTCAAGAGAATCTCAGACAGCACGTCTCGCCTGTCTGCGCATTCCAATGTATCGCAATCGACAGCCCATACTTCCCTCAGCGTCGGTATGCCGGCTCCTTCTGTCGACGAGTCCAAACGAGGCAGCGACGTCCTGGCCCAAGGCCAGGAATCTTCCGCAATGACCTCTAGTTTCTCAGCGACGGGCCAGGACAAGGTGGATGCTTATCAAACTGCTCTGGCGGCAGCAGCGTTCGAAGCCGCCGCCAATGGTCGTTTTCGACGAGACTCGTCACCCCCTCCAAGCGAGCTGATGTCGCCCAGTGGAGAATCCTTAGATGACCTTCCACAGCATGAGAATATGGACGACTACGATGATTACGACGACACTGGGTTTCGCGAAGACCTGAATGATTACGATGTCGACTATGACGACTTCATTGCGGAGGCGAACGCTAGTGCCCTTGCCAACGACTCTGACGGTTGGTATGGTCAGGAGTTTGGGTTCTACTCTGCTCCTGTCGAAGGAGGTGGGCGCCACAGTAGGGACAGCTCCAACGGATCGGATGAGAAGCCTTTCGAATATGCTAACGGCGGCTTCTTTGGGCCGTCGGGTGTATCCCGAAGCAAGTCCGGGAGGATAGTATCTCGAGAGCCCAACCTCACGCCTATCACGGAGAGATCCGAGTACTCGAATCGTAACTCGATCATGAGTCTCGCGGTCCCGCCTGGCATCGGTTCCGGTCCATCAAGTCTCCAGAGCCCTGGCCTGGCCCAACTTGCCATGATGGCTGATGGTGACGATAATATGAGCCTGTCAGCGCTGATGCGGCTTCGTTCAAGGGCTTGGGGTGGATCACAGGCCAGTCTGGTCTCCAGTCGGGAGGGGTCACCAAGATCTGAGAGAGGCGAAGGTGGAAGCTCACCTTGGGGCCCGGGGCCTCACAACATGCTGGGCATACATGGCCATGGCCGTAAGAACTCGGCATTCTCTGTTCGCAGCCGCGACATGGATTCTTCGGATGCAGGCAGCACGTCGGGCTCCCCTACTCTCACCATGTCCATGCCCACTCTAGGGTCACCGCCTCCGCCTCTGCCACCACTGACACAAAGTCCTGCGGTGGTCATGAACTCTCCCCACTTCACGCACAGCGCGGCATTCGACCCCGTTCCGGAGTCCGACGAGATGGATGAGCTGTCAATCTCCAACACCATTTCCCACTCGGGCTTATGGATGAAGAGCCCGGATACAGCTATGCATCCGAACCTCGTGCCCCGGATCGACCCGACGCCCCAACCTCAGCGGAGGCCTGGCATGGGTCACAAACACAAGGGGTCTGCGGACAGTATATCATATATCAAGGAGGAGGAGAGTGGCGAGACTAGATGGGTTCTCGAGCGACGTTTTACCGCCGATAGCGGAGAGATTGAAGTGCAGCGGGAATTCGTCGGCAATGGCCAGATTTAGGATATGCGGCCTCCAGAATTGCCCAGCCAGGATCAAGGTGGGAGAGGCGATACTCCAAACGTCGGGCTGACTGCGCCCGACATTATCGAATGATATCATCCAACAGCGACGGCGTAATTGTTTTGAACACACGATACCTCAAGTAGAGTATGAAATAAGGGATTTAATGATGGCATACCCTGTATAGAGTAAGCGGCCCGAGCCACAGGCATTTACGGATGCAGTGTAGAGAGCTATGGCACAAGGCTGATGCCGGCAGTCGAGTTGGAAATAGGATAACCAAGAATAATTAATACCTTCACACCTGCCGCCTCTCGTAACTTGAGCAACCCACAATGAAATATCAAGATCCATAAAGGTCAGTCATATATAGCTCTAAGGTTCTGATCACACGTTTTGATCCCAAGTACCTACCTAACCCAAAGGATCTCTTCTCACGTCCGTTGTTCCATGAATTTAATCTGACACAGTTACATTGAATCAGTGACGTTCTACCATCTCACCCTTATTTTTGTCTCCTGATGAGTCGATTGGCTTGAAAATCCATCAGAAACTTCAGATGAACTCGATTGTTATGTACTTCCAATTCCAATAACACAGTATTTACAAGAATTGAGCATCAAATCTCATATATGCCTCCCCCCCCCCCCCCCCACCACTCCCCCCCAAATCCATTTATTTGTAGCGTCATCTCATTCCATCATATCTTCATCCCCAGCATCAGTCATCAACACCCTACCTCTCCCTCCAACATCTCTCGCAACCCCCTTCCTCCCATCGCCAACTCACTTGGACGGCTCACCATATGCATAACTAAAAGCAACAGGCGTCCCAAAGTTAGGCGAGCCGTTACTATGCGTCCCGAGCATCTGCACCATGGTATACCGACTGTCATCGCACGCGCCCGCACTATTCGCAGTAGCATGGTACGCAATCCACGTCTGGTCCCCCTTCGGGCTCGCAAAGAAGCTATTATGCCCCGTGCCGTAATGCCCATTCCCACTACTCAGCACACACCCGTTCCCCTTCGTCCACGCCGCGGGGTCCGTCGGCGCCCTGCTCCCGTCCCAGGTCAACAAACCCAGACAATACGACGCGGACCAGCAGTACGACGCAGAGTACGCGAGGTAGGTCTTCCCGCCGAAGTAGAGCGCCGCGGGACCCTCGTTGACGGGGTGGGAGACGCGTTCCCAGGATTGGGTGGGTTGGGAGATGAGGGCGACGGAGCCGGAGGTGGAGACGTAGTCCGTGTTGAGCTTTTGGATGCAGATGGACTGGTAGGTTGCGCCGTGGAAGCAGGAGAAGACGAGGTATTCGCCCAGGGAGGGGGTGCGGAGGACGGAGGCGTCGATGGCCCATTCGTCGGGGCCGATGCGGCCTACGTAGGTGTAGGCGTCCCAGGGGGTCGTGCCGCCTGGTGTATGTTAGTGACGAAGCTTCAGTGATATCCTCTGAGCTAGCAACGAAAAGGGCAGGAAGAGTGAGGGTGGTGAGTATGTGATGTAAGACGTACCCCTCAGAACATGCATCCTCTGATTATCCAAATTCGCGCTCCCGCCCGCCGTGAAGTAGATGTACCACCGGTTGCCCAGCCAGTGGACCTCGGGCGCCCAGACGTTGCAGCATCGCGAGGCGTCGGCGGAGGAGTAGACGACTTTCTTGGTGGCGGTCTTGAGCCCTTCGATGGTGGTGGAGCGGGCGATTTCGACGGTGGACCAGGTCGTGGAGAGGAGGTAGTAGTAGCCGTCGCCCGAGTAGGTCAGGAACGGGTCGGAGCCGCCGGGACGGCGGATGGGGTTTGTGAAGGCGGAGACGAGGGGTGCCGCTGCGAGGGCGAGGAAGGATGTTAGGGTTGAGAGGAGACGCATTTTGGGCGTGATGGGGTGGAACTTGGAGGTCCCTTCTTCTTGTGATGGAGAGTGAGCCGGTGGGAGGACGGAGTGGAAGAGGGAGTGGATGAGGAGATTTATATCGCTTCTCCAAGGTCGTTCATCATGGAGGTGTGAAGGGAGTGGGAGGGCATCGCCGTGTAAGTCATCTTCCGAGAACATCACATACGCCGCGGGTCAGTCTCCGTGTAAGCGAGCCCATCAGACACGCCACAGACTGCAATCATCCCGCCAATTTCGGGTTTACTCTCCTCAGAAGCCCATCATGGGCAGACGGTTCTCGGGAAGAGGGAAGGGGAGTCAGTCAACTCGGTGTTGTCTTCAAAGTGGACCGCTCGCCTGCCGTCCGCGGTCTACCCGGCGAAAGAGAAACCAGCCATTCTGCCAAGATTCGAGACCGCAATATCGGGGGAGGTGGGGGATTGGTGGGATTAGCGGGCGATGCCCCTGCCGGAGCGGGGGTCCGGGGGACACCCCACGATGGACACCACGCGCCGGGCATGGTCCATGGACGAAGACAATCGTGGAACTGAGGATTGTGGATGCGAACACGCGAGTCTCTTCCGGTTGGATAGACGTGCCGGGACTGAATCGGCATTCTCAGAACCACGATGTCGAAGTGAGCTACCTAGTAGAACGGACGGAAACGTGCTCGTTTAGAAGCCGATCGCTTACCATGCATGCGAACTGCTGTACTCCGCGCCATGGGTGCGCGTTCCTGGAGCCGACGGACGTTGAAGCTTAAATTCTCCGGGGCTCCCGTCGTGAGTTTAAGCTTACTGGGGGTAGTTCAGCAGCTCGCGTGTCGGGCTTGGGATTCCCGGCGAGTCGGGATGGAAGCGACGCAGACGTGTGAATGTTGGAATATGATTGGAGCGCTTGACATCAGTGCCATCCATCTCCCCATCTTCCAAGAACGATGTGTTCCTGAAAGCGCCAGCTCGCCAGTCATGTGAAAGGTTGCCCATAATGCCGTCTTGGAAGTTTGGTTCCTGGTAGTCTTGGCAGAGAATATCCATCAATGCCCGTTGATGGAGCGGAAAGATTGTGATTCATAAGCTATGATACGGTCGCTTCCGTGGGCGAAGGGAACATACGCTGCCGTGGGGTATTGTGATGGTCCAAGTCACGGTGAAGGAGGTGGGCGGCAGATGAAAAAGTTCTATCACGAATCACAGGCCAAACGCGAGAACCAAGGGTTTCTGTATATAAAGGCGGAGAAAGGCACTTTTCGGTTTTCCTTGCCCAAGAACCCGCAGTTTTCCTATTGTCCTGTGGCAATAATCGGCCATCAAACTTTAGGAACATGCCATTGGCATGTTCTAGGCTTGTCGTTCGGCTATCCTAAAGGTTCAAAACAGCTCTTCGTCCCAAGTAAGCCCTCGTGTGTCTTGGTGTATTCTATACGCGATACACGTCGAGGGGCGATGGAGAAGGTAAGGAACCTTAAGGTAGACATACCGATGGTAGGGTCTGTGAATGGTGAACTAGACCTTCTGAGAAAACTGATGAAACAGTTACTCGCCTCGTCAAGTCTGTCTTGACAAGACATGCAACCTGCCATTGTCTCCGGACTGATTCCTCTAAAACGGTACTTCTCTCAGGCTTGAGAACTAGGTGCAAGTCTTGAGCTCTTTTACATGGCAAGGTAGGGTAGCTTGACCAGCTGCTTGACACGAGTGCTCCGTGTGGCTGTACGTAGATGGGAGGATGAGCAGCCAGACACGTGTCTGGTATCTAAACTCGTCGTGTGCTAAAGAGATTTCCCCTTGGAAGAGGCAGGCAGGCATCGATTTCTGGGTGATCTGAGACCGAAGCCCAGGAATATAAGCGTACCTTGAAATGTCACTAGGCATGTACTAACGACGACTCGTATAACTTGGCAATGAGATCGGTTAGATACTATATACGTCTTTGCCTATTCGACAGTGCCCCGTGTTGGGAGTGTATTACGGATGGAATAAATCTCAAGATATACTGAGTAAATAGAGTGATCCTTGCTTAGGTCGAATTAACAATAGTGGCGGTATTACCTTGGTAACAAAGACAGGAAACTCTATCTGGAAATGAGTTGAATTCTTGAGCTACTAATGCACTCGTACAATCAAACAACCAGTTGGTACGAGGGCTCAAACTCCATGATCACAGAGTTCAGAGCCCGCCCACGGGCATCCCATTATGTCATCCACACGGGGGGTACCTCCAGGCCTGCCCAGGCACCTTTGAGCTTCCGCGACGGCAAACCTCGGCCCCATCCGCCTCCGCCACCGGAAGCCCAAAGCCATGGATGGCGCCGCTCATTGGGGAACCCAAGTGTGCAGCTGCCAGCAAGGGTCCAAACAAAAAACAAAAACGCCTCCCGCGCTGCACTGCGCTGCGCTCCGACCAACCCGCGTCAATGACATTGTGACATTTTCTTTTACCGAGCATTTTCGCCATCGTCCCGAAATCGTCCACCTCCAAACCCGCACTCTTCACATCACCACCACCAAAACCGTCAACAACGCCTCTACACCCTACCTCGACCAACCCAAACTCTCACGAACCAAACGTAGAAGACAAACCCCCAAGCCGACAAACCACACTCAAAAATGTCTCGCCTCCTCCGCCTCCGCCCCCTCCTAAACCCCACCCACCTCAAACCCTCAACCTCAATCCCAGCCCGCCTCTCCTCAACCTCAGCCTTCTCCCGCGGCCCCGCGCCCCCTCGCCTCCCAGCAGACCAACAAGCCGAGTTCGAGCGTCTCCAGCGCCAGGCCTCCGTCTCGAGCGCCTTCCAACACCTCGTCGAAGAGCAATCTGACCCTCCCGCCGACGCCTCGTCCACCTCTGCCGACTCATCCCCCTCCCCAGTCGCAACCGAAGCGACCACAACAGCAACGGCGACCGAACCCGCTACCACTGCGACCGCGACCCCCACGATCGCGGCGACGGACGAAGACACAATGCACCCAAACTACGTCCGCGGCGCCCCCGCAGAGTTCGAGGGCGACGTCAACCCGCGCACCGGCGAGGTCGGCGGGCCCAAGCGGGAGCCCCTTCGTTGGGGGTCTGGCGGTGATTGGAGCTACAACGGTCGCGTGACGGATTTCTAGATGTTCCGTGAACGATAATTTCATGTCTTTTTTGCGGGGTACATCTGGTAGGAAGTTGAGCGCAAGAGAGAGAGAGGGAGAGAGAGAGAGGGCGACTTGGCCTCGATAAAGATGGAGCCGATTCGACTTGCAAAGCGACGCCAGAAAACATTGGGACATCCCCTGTTAGGCAATACGTTTAAATGAAGAGGTTCTCTCGCATTGTATCATCAGTGTATAGTAACTAGTCGCCATAATCACATCAAGATACCATCTCATGACCTCGAACCACTTCAAGTATTCAAAAAGTATTGGGTATTATAACCAGCGCTACTCCTACAAAACTACTCCAACTTTGTCATCCGCTGCTCAATGCTCATATATGCCATTCGTCTCTAAATCAAGCCGTGATAGATATCTCAAGCAACCGGAACGTCAGAGACCCTTGCGGTGGCACTATCCACATCCATCTTGTCGTCATCGGCCGCTGAAGCGCCATTCGTGGTGACTCCGTTCGCCTTGGGAGCCGCACTTTGAGGAGGCTCGCCGTCGATTCTGTTTTCCTTGTCTCCTTCGCTCGGCGCTCGTTCTTCCTTGTCCTCGCCAAAGGCGCGCGAACCTTGGTTTCTCTTCCACCAGGTGCCGGAGACGATCTCTCCTCGAATCTTACTCAGGCGAAGCTTCTCGCGCTCCAGCTCAGCCCCGTTAAGGCCTCGGCTGGCCGCGTGCATCTCTCCCATGGCCTTGCGCATTCGCTCTCTGCGGCCTTTGCCACGGAGACGGTTTTGCGTGCCGGCGCCATTCGTGACCCAGCGAATACCCGTAATCATGTAGCTGATGCCGTCATGGATCGACTGTCGACCGTTGTACCGTCCACCAAATTCTCGCGACTGAATGCCGAAGCGAGTAGTGCTACCGTACTTGTCCAATCGTGGGAGAACCACGAGGCTGACGTGCATATCGCGATCGACGGGTACAGTGACAGGGCCTGTCCTGGGCGGCTTTTCGAGATATGTGGCCGAATTGGCCTCCAACCGGGCCTTCTCCTCCTTCTCCTTTTCCTTGCTGCGTCTTTTCGTTGCCGGACCTTCTTTTTCGGGGGCATTGATACCGCGATCGAGGTCCAACATTGCCACGTCCACATCGTCAGCCCATTCACCCCGAATCCATCCGCCGTGAATGCAGGCAGCAACGACATCCGAGTCGTCCGTGTACACGTCTGTGCCCCATAATGCCCTGCGAGCCGTGATCTCTTCCCTTGCCGCTGAAGTCAGGTGCACCTTGGGTACCTTCACCGTCAGTGTGCAGTTCTCCTTGTCCTTGATGACATTCCAAGGAAGTGGCATAGGCGTCGAGGAAAATCCGCGGCCGGATGGAACATTTGGCAATTGTCTCGCGGGGCTGAGCTTGGGTTCATAGAGCACATCGCCCAGATGGGTTCGCGGCAAGTGAGCAACCAACTCGACCACAGCCTTGGAGGTTACAATTGTCTTCGGCTTGGGAGGAAGAACATTCGTCGGGCTCTGCACGGCCTGCTTGGCGGGCGTCTCCTTAACGTGTGTATGCTGATGCGCTGGTCGAGGAACATGATGGTGGTGAGCAGCCGGCAAATCCTTCGCCAGTCCTGTCGGAGATGGGATGGGAGTGTTTCCCTTTACGTTCTTGAAAGGCGTGCCGCCACTGGGAGTAGGGGTGGGGGCATTGGCGTGATCGACAGCATGATGACCATGGTGGTGATGGTGATGATGGCTGTCGTCGTTAGTCGTTGTAGAAAGACCAGAGGGAACCGGGACGTACTGATGGTGGTGGTGTTGATGAGTCTTCGGGCGCTTTGCTCGACCAACAGGCGTCAGTCGTCCCGTGCTGTCCTCGTCACCCTTGGTCTCATCTTCCTTCAACTTTCTCCGCCTGCCCTTGGGTTTGGGCGCTGCTGTGTCTGGTCCAGACTCGTGCGCTGGGCCGTCTGCTTCGTCGCGTCTTGCAAGACTCGCGTTTGTGTATGGCGATGGAGTCACGGTGTTGACAGGGCTGCCAGTAAGGGTGACTCCGCTTCCTATCCCGGAGAACATCTTACCAAACTCGCTCTTTATGCTAAGCTGCCCTGGTGGTCCTGGCTGTCGTGATTGTGCTCCTTGGACAGCCTGAGGCAGCGGCGACACTCGTCCTTTCCGATTAATTTCCTGGACCGCCAACAAATTTCTTTGATTATTGTTTGGATGCTCTTCCGCAGGTCGGTTGCGAGGCGAATCGTACATTGGCGGGCCATGAGGTGTGCTGTATGCGACTGATGGAGGCGGCGGGCCTTCTTCGGCTGGACGGCGATGCGGCGGAGGCGGTTGCCCTTGGGGGTGTAAGTGATTTATCCGTCGCTCGGGAGAGTCAAAAGGCTGCTGTTGCTGCTGTGGTTGTTGTAGCTGCAGGTGCGGCTGACCGGGCTGGCCGGGCTGCCCTGGTGGCCCGGGCTGGCCTGGAGGGTGCTGCTGAGCATGATTGGGAGGATACCGATCGTTGGGAGGCGGCTGTTGCTGGAACTGAGGAGCTGGAGCGGGATGACCCTGACCTTGAGGTGGGTAGCCAGGCGCAGAGGTCGGAGGGTATTCGTGATGCCTTGGGTGTAATCCAGCGGGATCGTACGGTACTCTAGACTGATCAAAAGGCGGCTGCTGTCTTGGCGGCCAAGGGCCTTGTTCACGTTGCTGCTCCGGGGGCCGGGTAAATGGCGGAGGCTGGCCTCTTTGAACTTCCTGGGGCCGATATTCGCCCTGGTGTACAGGAGGTCCTCGACCGCCGTCGCCTCCCGAATATGCTCTGTCTCTGCGCTCTCTTTCCCTCGCCTGCTCCCTTTCCCTGAACTCGATCTCATCCCGGCGATCTCTTTCTGCGCGGTAACGGTCATCAAAGGTCATGGGCTTCAGACCGGGTCTTTCAGGATTGTACTCCATTGAGCCTCTGGATATCTCCTCTCGCCTCGGATACATCTCTTCCGGTCCGTTATTTCGACCCATATCAGCAGACCTCGGCGGCATGTTCTGGAACGACTTTGGCTGGCTCGTAGGCCTCGGCGGAGGGCCTTGAGGCATTCGGCTCGATTCTCTACCATCTTGAGCTGAAGGTCCGCGCTGGTGGTAGCTCTGCTGGGGTGTGCCGTACCGCTGCATCTCGGGCGTGGTCGAATAAGTACCCTGTGGTGATGCAGCAGCGCTGCCTCTCGGATCATACGGGCGCTGATGGTCTGGTGTCTGAGGTCTTCTGAAAGGCTGGTAGTCGGAAGATGCAGAGTGCATTCTCGGGGAAGCCTGCATCGTCGGCGCGAACGTCGGCCCAGAAGGCGCCGAGGTCGCAGGCGCAGGAAAATGCGAAGGCGGTGGCTGCGACTCTCTTTGCGCTGCCGGAGGACCGCCCAGCATGGAGGATATTGACATTGAACTACCGGTGCTTCCCGTTCTTTGTATTGAGTGTAGCGAGGGTAGCTCGCGGCCCCCCGGAAATGAAGTTGGATGACCAACATTCAAAGGCGGAGCTCTTGGCACAGGCAAGCCATAGTGTCCCATCTGATGCGATCCCGGAGGAGGTGGGTTCCCGGGCTGGGGAGGAGAGCCAGGAGGAGGCATATTACGATTCATCGGCGGGCCACCAGGTAATGAGGATGCACTCGGGTGTCGAGAGTGGCCCGAAGGAGGAGGACCCGAGCTGGGCTCTTGTGGGAACGATCTCGGGCCCGATGAGTAGTATGGATTTTCTGAGGAGCGCCGCTGATGCTCGGCATATGGAGGATTATTCGCAGGCGGATGGGAGACGGGTGGGAATGGCGACTGGTTCGGTGTTGATGTCGCGGTCGTGTTCGACGATGGAGGAAAAGGTGAGCGGCTGTACTGCGAAGCAGCGTTGCGCGAGAAGGGCAGCTGTGGCGGCTGTCTTGGATCCATCGCGCCGAGTTTTTAGCTCAAAGCCCACAGGGTGGATTGCACATAGGTGTCGGAGGGTGCGTCAGCGCGACGGCGACTAGGGTGCAGTGGATGCTATCGCAAAAGCAGACTCGTGTGCGGGTGCCGAAGAGGATCGCTCGATAGGTAAAGGTATCGTTCGGTGCTGGTCGCGGTGGTGAGGGTTCGACAAGGCGACGGTTGAAGAACCGAGAGTGTGGTGTTGTGGGAGGGTAAGGTTGAGGGTGAGAGGCAAGGTGAGGTGAGGTGTGAAGCAAGGTAGGGAAGTAGGAGGGAAGGGTCGAGGAACAGAGGAAGATCGCGACACACTGTTGTGTTACACGGACGCAGAATTATTTTGGATTCCCCTGGTCGGATCCTGTTTCGGTGGAGCTGGGCTGGCCGGCTGCTGGCATTGAACAGCTTGTGCCTGTGCTCACTCTCGTTTTTTCCCTCTCTTTCTTTTCCTTGGCCCTCGCCTCTTTTTTTTGCAGTACCTCGGGGGCCAGGGGTGTGAAGGTCCAGGTGGAGGTGATGGTGGACTGGCGACAGGGTCCCGGTTCTTGTTGGTGTGGGTGGGTTGAGGAGATGGTGGTGTCTTGTCTTGTCTCCTTCGGGGATGGGGGGAAGACTCAAGAGAGAGGTCGAGATCAAGGTCAAGGTGACAAGGTGGTTCACCCTTGATCACTGCAGTCTGCAAGGTGGTGGTAAGAGGTCAAGCTGGAGACGCGGCTAGGTCCAAAAGTCGAGTTCGACCACTCGACCTGCTGTTGCTTGGAGACTTATCCGTACCTCAGGTTGGGGGACTTGGGACCGTGAGCTGGTGACCTTGGGGCCGCCGCTGGCAAATGGGCGCAAATCAGCCGGAACGCGACAGGGATGCCGGGGGAGGTTCGTTCGCGCTAGTGAGACAGGTGGCCCCCCGTTGATGGGAAACGATGATGTCGATGCGCCGCGCCCGGGGGACGAAGTACGTATGGATGTTGTTTTCCCTACCGCAAGCCGGTGGGCTCCTTTGTCGATTGACAGATTTGACGTGATGAGTTGGTGAGGTTGCTTTGTCCGTGGATGCTCAAGTCGAGTCGTAAGGTGCCGGTA